ATATGATGAAACATGGTGGGAGTTTTTTAATGTTAAGGACAAGAACTGACAAAAAAAAGTGGAAAGTGATGCTGTGTAATCAGAGTAGTGACTCTAATATGAGTTTGCAGTGTGAGAGGTTTGTAAAGAGAAGCAGATGTGAAGATATTTTACTCTATATGGTATTAGTTTCCTCTAGTGCTTCAGTATCAGAAGAATGTTGTCCAAACAGTTTTCTAAAAAAGGTGAGGCAAGTGGGGATAGCAGTTTTTCTATTTGCATTTCAGTATGTGGAAGTAATTCAAATGGAAGTGATAATGATTTGGAGGCTTGTAGTGCATAATAAAATCTTGTAAGAACATTTTCTTTTTTAAATCCTGCATTAATTAGATCGATTGTTAGCAACAGCATTAGTACCAGTGTGCAGGAGAGTGTCTACATTTCCTTACAGGGGAGAAGAACAAAAGCTTTGTTTGCAAATCTCTGTGAACAATCAGTATCTCCCTCTTAATCTTGAACTGAAAGGCTCTGCAGTCTTCTGAGTAGTGCCTGTGAAGCAGAACAGTGTCATCTCACTCAGGACCTTTGTCATTTGGGGAGCAGCATGCTAGAAGCTAAGACAAAAAAACTATTGCTCTTGTTTTGGCTTGTGAAATGAAAGTGCATCTATGTATTAACACTGTGCTGTTTACAATTGCTTTTTTAAATAATTGAGACTTGAAAAGGCCTCATCACAAGGCAGTTTCTGCAGTTGTGGGGAGAGCTTTTATCTGGAAGGCTTGCAGTCTCTGTTACAATAGAAGCCTCCTAATTTCAGATTATTCTTTGTCCAGTGATACATTCCAAAAGGGAAACACATTTGTTTGGATATAAACAATAAAGAATGGTGTATGGAAAGTGGTATGTCCCTGTGGGCATTTTCTCACAGGACTGCAATTCTGCACCAAATCTCTTAAGAATTGTGTCACCACTGCACTTGCGGAGATAACAACAATAACCATTAAAACTAAAGTATTGCCATCTATTGTTAGGCTGTTGTTCCTGTTTTGACCTGTTACACTCTTTTAAGACCATAGATGGTTTCTTTCAACCTTTCTTCTCCTTTGCTGTCCAAATATTGAAATAGGAAGCGCATTGGTTCAGAGGACATGGATGTCTGTGTGAGTCCCAGTCGTGGCACTTTGTTGTTTGCAAAAACACACTTGTTAGTCCAGCATTTTCTTTCCTCTCCCACCAAGATCTGTTAATTGCTTTATTCCCTCTCTCCCACCGATGTAAGAAGTAAATAGTATTATCCATGCTTATTGCTTGTAAAGAACTGATTAAAGCATCATCCTCATCCCCTTTGGCAGGTATTTCAGATTTTTGCTCCAGTTTGTCACTGCTGACCTTGTTCTTTTTGCAAATGATCTTTAGACAGTCAAACCTCAACTGCATTTCTCAGCAGGGATTTGTCTGCTCATTTTTATAGCTTATATTAAATGTGAGCCTCCTAACTCTTACAGTTTCTGTCGTTTCTATAGCAACTAGATAGGCAGAGACACAGCAGCATCTCTTTGCTTCCTGGCTGGTGTTTGTATTTATAGAGTCATAGAATTTAAGGGTTGGAATGGACCTTACAGATCATCCAGTCCCAAACCTCCCTACCGTGGGCAGGGGCACCTCCCACCAGAGCAGGTTGCTCAAGGCTCATCCAACCTGGCTGTGAATACTGCCAGGGTCGGGGCAGCCACAGCCTCCCTGGGCAACCTGTGCCAGTGTCTCATCACCCTCACAGGAAAAAACTTTCTCCTAATATCTAACCTAAACTTTCCCTCCTTCAGTTTTAATCCATTACCACTTGTTCTATCATAGCAGTTCCTAACACAGAGTCCCTCTCCAGCTCCCTTGTAGGCCCTTCAGATATTGAAAAGTTGCTCTGAGGTCTCCACGCAGTCTTCTATTCTCCAGGCTGAACAGCCCCAACTTCAGTTGGGAATCCTGCAGGCAGCAGGATGCCATCCATAAAATGCCTATTGTCTCCACATGGTTGGTGGTGCCTCAGGAGAGGTGCTTGCTCTTGGGGAAATAAGTTCTCAGTTGTTTCCCAGTTCATTCCTTCCCTGCCCCTGCCTGTCTCAGAGAGGTTCACAAGAGCCAGTGAACATGACACCTGCTAAATTTAGAAATCAGCTTGCTTTTCTGCTGGCTGCCCAAGCAGGTGCTCATCCTCAGTGGGTTACATATTAGTACAGATTTAAATTTTATGCAAAACAACATCTCTTCAAAACATTCTGGCTTAAAAAATGCATAAATGGACAAGTCCCTTGCTTCCATAGATTCTAATCTAGGATATCTCCTGTGTGCATGGGGCCACTAAGTCACTTAATCTGAGGCTGCAGAAGCTGGGACTGTTCAGCCTCAAGAAGGGAAGGCTCGTGCAGGATTTTACCAATGTGTATACCTATCTGGTAGGTGGGAAGGAAGAAAACTGAGCCAAATTCTTTGCAATGCTATCCAGTGGCAGGACAGGAGGCAATGGACATAAGTTTAATGTATGAATAAGTATTTTTTTACTGTGAGGGTGGTCAAACACTGTTAGTTTCAGAGGGAGGTTGTAGAGTCTCCATCCCTGGAGAAGTTTAAAACCTAACTGGGCTCAGGCCTGAGAAATCTGCTGTAGTTGACCCTGCTTTGAGAAGGGAGTTGGTTTTCATGTTCTCTAGAGGTCCTTTCCAACTTGAATTATTCTATGAATATTGTGGCAGATAAAATAATTAGTGTTTTTTTCTATGAAGAAATTGCTGCTTGGAGAATCTTGTATTGTCACAGATAAAATATGATTCTTGTGAGATGTTTTGGGAATCTTGTTTCTGCTTGGATTTTAATTTTGATCTTAGTACAACTCCTGGTGTTATAATGTTTATTTCTTACAACATAATTCTTTTATTAGAAAAAAATTGCCTATAAATCAGTGTAGTAACTAAATTATTGTAAACTTTCTTCACTTGACAAATGAATGCATTTTTATAGTGCTGAAAATCCAATCCTGAATGTAAAGGTCTATTGGAGTGGTTTTGATTCATAGAGTCATAGAATCATTAAGGTTGGAAAAACTAAGATTGAGTCCAGCCTCTCACTGCTATATGTAGCTCTAAACCATCACCTCAAGTGCTACACCCACATGGTTTTTTGAACACTTCCAGGCATGGTGATTCCATTACTTCCCTGGGCAGCCTGTTCCAATGCCTGCAGCTTTCCTGTAGCACAGTGTGGGGTTGTTGTGACCCAAGGACAGGGTCCAACACTTCACCTTCTTGAACCTCATGCAATTGGCTTCAGCCCGTTGATCCAGAAAACTCATTATATTCTCAATCAAGGTTGATAGGCAGAAGTTTAGGAAGAATTATGACAAGAAAACTGGAATTTCATTCTCTTGGTTGGAACAATTTTAGCTATGTGACTTTTAACAGAGGAAAACGGAGTATGAACTTGCATGTTTCTCTTGCTACCTGGTTATTGAATATGCAGAATGGAATGGTTTTGTTCTCTGGTATATTGAATTCAGGGCAATACATAAATGTAAAACCAGAGTTTGACCATTTTGGCCAGAAGCATCTTCTCTATTTTTTCTAGATTTTCTAATGAGTGTTTGCTCAATATCAGTTGAAACAGCTCTTGCATTTTTCCACGACAGCGGTGCATATTTCCGGTTGAAGGGTTCCAGATATATGTTGTGGAGTGAAAAATCAGGGATGGTGTTGAGAATTATCATGAGGTGGAGGAGGAGTAAAAGAGGCATTGGCATCTGGAAAGAGAGGCTGTGGTTGGAGCCAGAGAAGCAATATCTAGCACAGGGTGTGAGGTGGGAAGGCAGAACAGCTTCTTTGAGGAAGGAGAAGGAATAGGTGAAGTAAGGTGCTTCTTTTGTTTGTTGGTTTGAGTTGGTTTTGTTTTTTTTAAAAAAAAAAAAGCTAAAGATTTTAAATTTTGAGCCAAATTAGTAACCCTAGTTTGAGTATCTCATTTCAGGCAAATAGTGACAAGGAACTGAGAATGTATGTGATATTTGATGTTGGCTTTCTGGACATCTCTTTCAGATTCTTGAACAAGTCCTGCCTGAGCAAACCTCTCCAGGCATTAGGGTTTTTAAATACAACTGTTGTTTGGATGAACCTTCCAAAACATTCTGCTTTGAAACTTTGTTATGCATCTCTTCATTCAAATCACTTAATGTTTTCAATCTTGTTTACTTTTTTACAGCTGTTAACACAATAGGGGAAAAGCTTCCAAGGAATGAGTATTGATGTTTGAGAGAACCTAGATCCTAATTGCAGAACAATTGCTGTGATGTCATGTGCAGATTTTATGTGGTGTTCACAAACAGCTGGTTGCAAACAACTGCAGATTGCAAAAAATGCCTATAAAGCTTTTGTTCTACTTTGAAAGCTGCTGGGTGTGCTGTCAAAAGCTTGTGGATGGAGCTGTCTGCCTATACTCCAGTTTTAAGTGAATTCTCATACCATGAAATCAACTTGGGGGAAAAAAAAGTGCTTTTGTCAATGTGACTTTTATCAGTCATACACTAAAACCAAGCACAGCTCTAAAATTGGAGTTGCATACGATGATAACAAAAGTGATTTGTCTGTGCATTTCCATACCAAGCTTTGGCATCACTTTCAATAAGTTATGCAGGCTGAAGTGGTTCTTGCCAGATTATTGATCTGGCATAAAAGTTATCCTGATAAAAAATTTTCCTTTAGAAGAAAATCTCTCCAATGAACATAATCATTCTGATAGAAATGGAAATGCAAATATAGTACAAGATTGTATTTCTTACTGTGAAATATCAAAATACTCTGTTTTTCTAATTGTGAAATTGATAATTAGGGATAAAAACTAAATGTTAGCAAAACAAAGGTATGGTAATTTTAGGCTTCTAGGGATAGTTCTAGAAATGTTTTCGTTGTACAATAAACGTACGTATTTTTATCGTTCTTGAAGATAATCATCAGCTAAATGTTCTGCATTTTGTTTTCCAGAAACCAGCAAACATTCTGGTAATGGGTGAAGGTCCCGAAAGAGGAAGAGTCAAAATAGGTAAACATTTTGAGAAAATTTCATTGCACAGCTAAGGGATTACTTTAAAAAAAATGAATCGTCAGTGTAAGAGAGAAAGAGGTCTTCATTAGTCTTTCAATGTACCTCTACTTCCATTTTAAATCTCATTCACTGAGTTTAAAGACTTATCTAATATACATGATTGGAATTTCTTAGCTCTAAAGTTTGCCAAGGAACTTTGATAAGGTAAAAGCATCTGTAAGAAAGTAATAAGCACATAGACCCGTGGCTATGGCCAGGGTTCTTTTGACTTCTGCTAGGATTAGTTGGTTACATATAAACTGTATTTTGTTTTCAATTATTTTTATATAAATAACATTAATGCATGTGTCTGTAGAGATCCAAAGGTTTGCTATGCAATGGCTGCTTGGTGTCAAGGTGGGAAACACATGTAACTCTGATGGTCTTTATCCAAAATCTAATTGCCTGCTCAGATCATAAGCTTTAGTCATGTGGATAACAACTGGTTTTTAATAAAACATGTGGCAGTACTCAAGGAAGTAGCAATATATTGGAACCTCTACTCATTGACTTTTGTTATGTTTGAAAATGTTCAACTAATAATTTTTGATTTATGTGCTTGTATTAGTATGGGTAACAGGAAGAAAATTATTCTTGGCATTTAATAACTTTGGAAGCAGAAAGATTTAGGTGAAGTTGTGTAAAAGATAAGTTTCAGATTTGAATTGGGTTTGAAATGTGTGGGTTTGACAGTACTCCCAGTTTTGTATTTTCCCATCCAGCATTTCTTAATGTTACTTACCAGGCTCTTTCTAGAGAGAGTTTTTGAGTTATATAAAATGAAAGCTTGCTTGTAAAATACACCTTTATAGCAGTGTACACTGATTGATTCTGGAGTCCAGAGAAGAGCAACGAGGCTGGTGAAGGGACTGGAGCACAAGTGCCATGAGGAGAGGCTGAGGGAGCTGGGGGTGTTCAGCCTGGAGAAGAGGAGGCTCAGGGGAGACCTTATCACCCTCTACAGCTCCCTGACAGGAGGTTGGAGTCAGGTGGGGGTTGGTCTCTTCTCCCAGGCAACCAGCAGCAGGACAAGAGGGCACAGACTCAAGCTCTGCCAGGGGAGGTTTAAATTGGATACTAGGAAGAGATTTTTTCCAGAGAGAGTGCTCAGGCATTGGAATGTGCTGCCCAGGGAGGTGGTGGATTCACCATCCCTGGAGGTTTTCAAGGTGAGACTGGATGTGGCACTTAGTGCCATGGACTAGTAACCACGGTAGGGTTGGACTCGGTGATCTTTGAGGTCTCTTCCAACCCAGTTCATTCTATGATTCTAAGATTTATTGCTCTAACTCAAGTAGGAGGAATGCCTTAAAAAATAGTGCAAACAGTCTAGACTGTGGTTGTTTTTTTGGTTCTGCACATTGGGTAAATACATAGCAGTCACAGGGACTCACAGTTTTGTAAATACATATAAAAATAAAAGAGAAAATGTACATTAGAGACCTACTACTATTGACTTTAGTTAACCAAGTTTCTATTACGGAGGGTTGTTTTTTTTAAAAAACAAGCAGGCATCTGTGTTACGTGAAAGTTTACAATCCCATCATGAAAACACTTAAGTCGGACTTAGTCATTTTCTCATTCATAGTCTTATCAATGAAGTAAATGGAATTTAGTCTTAGATAAATTTGGCCCAGTATTGTTGTGAATAATTTTGGATTTTTAGAAACTTTGTTTTTTAATTTTAAATGTTTTTGAGCTTTTGTTATAATTGGAGTTTTTTTGCAATAGTGTTAAATTTGGGTTTATTTGTATAAAAATGTAAATGTTGTTTTCTATTTTTTCTCCCTACTCCTCAGCTGATATGGGTTTTGCAAGATTGTTTAACTCTCCTTTGAAGCCATTGGCAGACTTGGATCCAGTTGTGGTGACATTCTGGTACAGAGCTCCAGAGCTGTTACTTGGGGCCAGACATTACACAAAGGCCATTGGTAAGTTGTTCTGTAAGAAAGATGTTTGGCTGCAAGTTTTGTAAGGATAGTAGCCTTACAATAGCGATCAATGATGATCAAGTGACCAGCTAGTTTTTTTTCTTAAGTAGCAGCAGGTGGAGTATGATCTAATCCATAAGAGATTTATCCAGATGGAAACTTTCTGAGGACTGTGCTTTTATTTTTCAACATGAGCCAGACATTTTAAATGTGGCGTTTGTTTTGTTTTTAAAACAAAAATATCCTTTGCATTGGTTTCCTTGGCTTTTTGATTTGGGCTCAGAAATCTCATTATCTCACAAACCTTTGAAAGGGAAAGATATGTGTCTGTTGAACTGTTGTTGTTCTAGGGTGTTGCATGTCCAGATGCTTCTATGAAGCGTGTGGCTGGATAAGGAGAGGGGCAGTCTCCTGCTGTGTGCAATCTGCAGATCGTTTTCTCCTTATGGCTTAGGAAGCTCCGTGTTCAGGCAGTACTGATGTCCAGGTCTTGTCATCTTTACCCTTTAGTAAGTTCCAGAAGCACAGTGAGCCTTGGAGCCCAGCTGTTTGGAAAATAAAAACTCCGAGATGTGCATGAGGTATCCTGTCTGCATGATTGGCTTAGTATTGAACTGCAAAGGAAACAATGACCCTCTATTAAGAGGGTTAAATCATTCCTGTGTGTACAGAGGTGGCTTTCTTGGCAGGCATTTTCCTGTTACAGAAGTTTTTGGAGATGCTCTGTGGGCCTTTGTTCAGAGAGTTTACAATACACCATGTTATACTGCCATCTCAGTTGAAGGTTCACTTGGGTGGGCCAACACTTTGAGGCTTACAGTCTTCCTTTTTCAAATAACTCCTGCTTATCCATCTACCAGATACAGCAAAATGTTTGAAGGATGAAGGAACTGACACATGACTTCCTTCCTGTCGACTTTCGCTTCACATTACTTTGTTGCTTTTCTCTTCCATTTGGAATCCTCCAATGCAGGAGGACCTGAATTGGGCAAACTCTGCTTTCTCTGTTGATCTTGCCTTGAATGTGCTGGAACTGTTAAGAAGAGCAAAGAGACTTCTGCATACTTCTAGTGACATTCAGTTTTGCAGGCAGCTAACATGCATTTCTATCCTTGGAGAAAGTTTGACAGCATCAAAAATCCAGAAAGTTCAGGTTTGTTAGAGTTCCTTTTCATCTGAAATGGAAAAACATAACTCTTCAGATGGCAATGTCTGCTTTAAACATCTGTAAATTAGATGTTTAAATTGCCCTGACTATGCTGATAGTGAAAAACACTGCTGTGAGTGGACCAACTTCCTGAGTGACCTGCGTGTGTGGTACTGGGGAGTTACCTTTACTGACAGATAGATAGCATATTGTTTGGAGATTTAGGTGAGTGATATGTACCATTATCTCAGCTTATCTCTTTGAAGAATGAATTAGTCTAATGCTGTTGTTTGTTTAATTATGTCATAAATAACTTGGTTCTTGCCTTGAGGGATCTGCAGTCTGTTCTAAAACACAGACAAGGAGTCCCTATGAAACTTTGTAGAGGATGATGCTGCTTCAGAGAGATCTGGTTTTGCTAGTAGTTTATTATTTCTGAGGCTTTTATTTCTTGTATCACACCATGAATGCCCAGGAGGGGTGTGAGTGGTGACGTAGTACCTGGCATGCAGTGTGGGTGCTGAGGGGCACTCAGAACAGCTTGGGAGGGAAGTAAAAAATATGGAAATGAAAACAAGGGAAGTTGCAAGTTGAGATTTGTAGGCTGACTGGAGGATTAGAGGAATATGTGGCTGAAGAGAAGAAAAAAAGTCTAAAGGTGCTTTGAGGTGATCTATGTGCAGCTTGAAGGCAGAGGGAAGAGGTGAGTAACAAAATGACAGTGGTGATGTTCATGCAGTTTCATGAGTCCAGACCTGTGTTTTGCTTCCAGCATTATGTGCCCTTAAAAAAAGACAGTCTTAATGGGCTAAGCTCTTTAGTGAGAGTTTAACTTGAATCCTAATATTTTTGGCAAAGATGCAGCTCTTAGAGCTCTCTCTTAAGTCTCTGTGCAAGAAATGCTCATTTTAACATCTCTTAATATTGCATGATTCTCAGGAGCTCTGACGGATTGCTTTTAGTAATAACTCATAAATCATACAAGATTCTCATTTAACTGCTCTTCAGTTGGAAATCATAATTTAGAAGAAAGGTGATTAGATACAGCAAATTATGAAAAGAGAAATGGCAAGTTATTCAGTCTGGCTGCTTGTTCTCCATAGCTATTTTCTTATGCCCTTTAGAAAATATGAAACTTTTTAATAATTAGTAAATATCAATAAAATAAGGTTAAAAGCAATGTCATGCCAGCTTTAGTCTATTCTATTCCAATTTTGTCACTGTGGGAAATATTTTTCTTTGAATTTACTTGGAATGCATCGTCATCAATTCTCTTCAAAACATGCTGAACCTTGTCCAGCAGTTGCTACATAATTCAGATGTTCGCTTATGTTTTTACTGGCTTTGTCTTGATTTTATTTTAAATATATTTTCTGTATTCTGTATCTAATACTCTTCTTTATCTTAGCTTCACATCTAATTTAGTTGTTAGCAGTATATTCATAATATCCTGGACACTGTCTACTATAGTGTCCAAGTTGGTTTCAATCTTGTAATAAAGCCTTTAGATACTCTTGCTTTCATGTAAATAATTCTCATCCTTGATCAAAGAATGAAATTAGAATTTGAGTTTTGTCTTATTTGGGACTTTGTCTTTTGTCTTTGTTCTCTAGATCTGCTGTTAGTTAAATTTTGTAGGTTTAACTTTGGGGGGGAATTGGACTATCTACAGTCTGTTTAGAGAGAACTATGTATTACATGAAACAATATGTAAACATATTTAATTATTCCAGGGGTAGTTTTTCAATGACTTTTTTTCCTTTATGGAGTTTGTCCCTTCATACTAAGGAAACATTCTACTTTTAATTTATTTCCTCACAGAACAGGTACTCATTCATCACACACATAACAACATGTTTGAAGGAGATACAAGAGCCAAGAAAATGCTGTTGCTGAAAAACAGAAATAGTAAAAAGCCCATGCTAGGTTTTCATGGGGCATAGTACTTAGTTTCCTGAATTGTGAGTACTTGTTAATAAAGTTTCATGTGTAATACCTGCTACCATAGTTACAAGTAACTAACTTAGCAGTTGAATGCAAATTGGGAAGATGTTGTAGAAGCCAAAAGTAATTTGCTATTCCATTACCACAATATAAATCTGTGTGAAATTCATTGTAGCCTGTGGATGTTTTCTGCATTTCCAGCATCATAATTTAAATACAGGATCTGTATCCGTGTATTAATCACATCCTAATACCCTAGCAAAGAAATAAAACATGCAAATAAAAGTAACTTGAACAAACTTCAGGTGAAACCTAGTAGCTGTAAAGATGTAAAATTGCTTGTGATCATGGAAACATTAATAGTGTTACTGAACTTCTAGAAAATCTCCAGCACAACAGAAAATGCCTTTATGCTCAAAATACTGAAGAAACAAGGTTGAAGTAAGTGTCAAGGTACAGTGCTCCTTCCATGTATGGGTCAAGTGCATGGTGTCTGCACTTTAATTTTGAGCAAACTAAAGGAAATAACTGTGGTAAAATGAAGGAGAAGGTAAGCTGGCTTTCAGCATGAGAGAAGACATTAATCAGATGGGGTTTTTTCACTCTGGGAACATCAGATTAGAAAAGAATATTTTAGTAGGTAAAGCAAGTAGTAAGAACTCTTTTTCATCGTAGGTTTTAAGAAAGCATGTGGCAGTCTCCAGTGTGATTCATTCTGGGATATCTTGTAGCCTATCAAGGAAATAACATTATTAGGACTTGTTTTTATCAAGTTGCAGCTTGTATAGTTATCAGTGATATCAAACGACCATGTTATCTTAGCTCTCTTTACCACTTGCCCTAATTAAAGCAACAGATATTTGATAAATGACATCAGATGATCCTCTAGTATTCTAGATGGTTCGGGTTTTGTTGGCAAGAGAATTCTTTAGGGTGATCATTCAACCACCCTTTAAGCAAGGCTAAAACACTGTCCTGCACCTGAAAAGGATGGGATTGTGAAAAAATAAATCTGGAAACCTGAGAAATCTCTATT